TATTTTGGCGCAGTAGGTGAATTCCTAATTAAAGGGCATTATTAGAGGCAGTTTCCCTCAAAACTAAACGTGGTTTCATCTAAGTTAGGTTTTGTATTTCTGATCAGTCTTTTTGGTTGAAACAAAAAAATTTTTTTGGATTTAAAAAAATTCATTCTTTTCTTATTTCCTCATAACTAACTCCCATAAGTAATATCTGTTAAGGAAGACATTCTGAGTTCCAAATAGCTCTAACACAGATCAACCCAATATTTTCTCCCTTGAACTATTTGCTTTCTGATTTATGGTTATTGGGTTTAGTGGTTGCAAGTTCAACATAGGAGGCCAGGGACTTTAGAACATTCTCTGACCACAGCAATGAAAAATGTGTGATTCTTCTTTTCTTGCCTTCATTGGCACAAAGGGTAGACTGGGTTCCTTCTTGTGGAAGAATGTATGGTGATCACCATTCCCACTCTCGATTCAGGAGTCTTTCTATTTTCTACTGCTTTTTGGTCTCTTCAGGAATCTTTTCTGAGTTACAGAACTTTGTGGCATTCAGAGAAAGACTCCCTGGCATTAGTGTAGCCAGGATTTAGGGCTTACCCTGCAACTGAAGGGAGTTGGAGAATGGCATCTTTAGAAACCAAGGTGCAACAGTTCACACAGGGTCTCTGAATCAGGTACTTCCCAATAACTACCCCAGAATTTATGAGGGTACTGATGATCTGATTGGGGTCATACCAAAAGTCATCTGCAATCTAAATTATGTAAGAGAAAATTGTACATTTTAAGATTACATATGGGGACTTTCAAAACAGGAACTATTCATTTCTTCTCTCATTCCAAGTTTTCTGAGCACTTACTTTGAGTCAGGCACACTCTGGGGGACTGGAGATACAGCAGTGAATAAAACAGACCCAGCACCTATCCTCACAGACCACTAGGGATTGCTTTGCCATGGTTAATCCAGCACTGCCCCAGTGTCTGAGACTCTGGGTTTCACAAAGAAGGCCTCCCATCCCTAGATTGGGGCAATTCTTCAATTTCTCACATACTGGCTGAAATAGCTCACAGGAGCATCTGATCCCTCTAGCTTCAACTCCCCATTCCCTAGTCTAATATTAATGTTGGCAAGAAGATGTCTTCATCATAGGGAAGGAGGCTTGGAGAAGGAATGGGGCTAATTGCCTCCAGAATTAATATATTCATTGGCCTCTTTGAGCGTGTTTACCTCTACTGCTATGAAATACCAACTTAGGGTAAATGGGTAAAGTCTTGGTTTTGAACTTGCAAAGCAGAGGCTCGGATGCTGTCCATGATGACCAACAGCTTCGAATTGGAAAACACAGATGACGTCAGTCGGTGTCCACCCGCTGATTACTGACCCAATTCTCTTCTCTTTCTTACCCCTCAAAGGCACCACAAAGTCTAGTATTCAATACACTGTCTCATACTACTCGATTTTAAATTTCCAACAACCTTTGGTGAAATCCAAACTCCCATTTCACAGATGAGAACATCAGACCTCAAAATTAATTTGCTCAATTTCTCAAAGCTGCTAACCGAAGCCAATATTCAACCCCAGGCCCTCTGGCTCCAAACCCATGCTCTTTCCACTATCCCACAGCTGTCTACTTCTAAAATTTCAGTTCTTCTTTCTCTTTGTACATTGTTTCAACACAGCCTGGTGGGAAACTGTCATATAATCTGCTGGTTTTCTCCAGAGCTCTGGAATCAGCTATAGGCAACCAAGGGCTTAAAGCTACTCCTCTCCCACCTGCAGGCTCTGCCCTCCAGGTTGTGGGTCTCCTAATCATATCCTTGTCCCCAAGCCTCTCTTGCTTCCTGCACAGGAATCCTGTGGCTGTCATGAATGCTTAAAGATCTATTTTTAGAAATCAAAGGGAACACACCAAGGTTTCTAGGAGTCTATTAATATAATCTTATCTGAGGACACCCAGATTTTTAACTTACCTTGATTTCAAGGTAAATTACCTCCAGAGAAAGATAAACTTTCCTTACTTTTCTTTTCAACAGTCACCATCCCCAGTATAGGTTTCTTTTCTGGGTTTTGTTGTTGTTGTTCTACCCTCTAGGGCTTCTCCTTATTACCTGGTGCTCAAAGTCAGGGATATTAATAGCTAGCAGCAGCCACAGTTGATTTCTCTCCAAGAAGGCCAAGGGGGAAGCAGCACTAGTTCTCCTTGACCTCCTCTTGTGATTGGCAGTGCTCCTTAAGATCGTCTGCAGGGAGGGACTGCTGTTTTAAAGATCTGTGCAAATGTCAATCAGTGGATTCCATGCTTTTTCAAGCCTGCTGGAGATAACAACTTCATTCTAGGGCACTCAGACTACTACTTCAGGCATAAGAGAATCATAATATACACAAGACAGAAAATGGAAATGGAAAATTAATTTTATAACATTTAAATAAGTAAGAAATGAGAATGCACACATGTAGTCTCTGTACTTGGGGATGTAACTGCACCACTTATGTTACACACACACACATACACACACGCACCCACATACCATATCTCTGCTCAACAATGTTTCTTTGCCTTAACAGGTCAATGATGATAATATAAAAATGTAAACACCAAAAATAAACATGCTTTTGAGATAGCATTGCATTAGGAGTGTCACTAATATGTTAAAAGAAATCAATTAGTTAATCATGTCATAACTGAAAACAAAAATATTAAACAAGGCAATAATAATGGATATAAGCTGAAATACCTTCTGTTTCAAAATCAGTGATAAGATTACTTTCCAAGTAGGTTGCTTTCCAGTATAATATACAGCACATGATATAAAGATACTCCACATTATTAGCCATGAATTTTTAGTATCCTCTTAAGAATAAAATACACAAAAGACTTGTTAAGTTCTGTCCCATGTTCTAACATGAACCCTTTTCATTAATCCTCAAATCAAACTCTCTAATACAGACTAGAAATTATTGTTTCTTTTCATCAGATCAGAATAAAACAGAGAAGAAGCTTGCTTTTGGATGGCTGGGCTGTGGCAATGAGAGCCACTTACCACCAGGAAGAGTCTTTACATTTGGAACAGACTTTTCATAAAAGGAACCTATCTCCAAAGGGGTTAGAAAATCAACTGCAGCTAAAACGAAATTTCATAGAAAAGATCTGCCATTTTCCCTCATATTCAACAGGCATGTTCAGCCCTGTATGAAAGCCAATGATTTTTATAGATGACACAAGCTCTTGGACCAGGTCCCCACCCTCTATAACTTGGTGTTAACTCAGGGATCAGCACCTGTTGCACTGCAAACCAAGGGACCATCTAATAAACATGGGATACCATGAAGGCCCCTCTGCTGTCCCCGCCCACCTGCCTGTCCCTTCTGACAGTATTAGTACCCCAACTCTCAACTGAACACCCACCATGTCTCTCTGGTTCTCGTGAAGCTAGGCATTTTCTTTCCTTACTGCCCTCATCACTTCTTGCAGTTGCCTGAGGCTATAGTGGTAAAAGACCTTGCTTTGTGGTAAGAAGTTTAGGAGGAAGCAAGTTTCCCATTTGCTGGACACATAAGCTCATGCCCTTAATTACTGAGCCCCAACCTAAGGAAAGAACAACAGCCCAGGGTCATCTTATCACTCACATAATCACAAAATAAATATTAATTGACATTATTTTTTAGGATTCTGACCAATTCAGAACAGTTGTTAATAATGCCCAAATATTCACATAAAAAGAACTTGTATTTTTCCCTCAATTGGACTATTTGTGCATGGATTTGGTAATCAAAAAATCAAAAATCACAGGAAGCCATTGGCCCTCTCCCTGTAGGATCCCAACCTGCACTGCCTGGTTTTTAGCCATTCCAAGGGACCAGAGCCCTGCATCACTCCAGGACAGTCTCTAGATCAGGCCTTACTCCTGGCCAGGATGACTGGTTACATGGACGTCTCTGATGAGCCAAGGAGACCCATCAAACTAAGGGATCCTGGGGAGAAAAGACCGTCCCTGGGAAGGTGGAGTCAGTCACTAGTTCATTCCATTAGTGTCCTTGTGAAGAAGACAGGAAAACGGCAGAGAGATCTGTGAAAGGAAACATGGCCCCCGGTCCAAACTTTGGCCTGACACTCTTTCAAATGTGCCTGGCATGATCACCTGGATGCAATAACTGGCCCAGAAGGAGAAATGTCAGGGACCATAAGAGTCACCAAAGGCTGCCCTTTACTTTGACATCTGCATGAAGGGAGAAACCCAAATACAGGTTTAGACTCATAACCTTGGAATTTTCCCTTGGAGAGTTGCTTCCAGTAGAAGATTGGAACACATATGTTGTCAAAATGACTTTATACCCCAGGTTGCCCCAAATGCTTTTCTTAAGCACGTCCATCTCATCTGCTCCATATTCCTCAGCAGCACACCTTGCTGGGAGTGGAGACTCCAAAATATTAGATCTGAGTTCAGCATTATAGTCCCTTCTCCAGTGTGCCCTTGAATATCCCCACCCCCTAGAAGCAAAGGTCCAAGTAAAGGAGTAGTACTGAAAAGGCATTCCCTTAAGGAAGAAACCATCCTTAGATAAACACATTTAAATCATCAGTAGTAGTAGATGCAATTATATCTCAGACTGAAAAGCTGCTGCAGAACCTGTCCCAGTCTGACTCCTCCACGGAGTAACTGTGTGACTTGAGCAGGTCATTTCATCTCTCTGGGCCTTGGGACCCTCATCTTAAGTGAAAACAGAGAACAGAGAAGTCCACTCCCTGCCTTCTTAGTTTGGTAGTTGGAACATCATTTGAGTCCAGTATGACCCAGCTCTAGGGTCTCCCTCCAGAAGGCCAGTGTTTGAAAGGAGAAAGAACTGTGGTACTTTGAACAGCCCTAGGACAAATGAGGGTCAGTGTTTAAGTTTGCTCTTCATAACTTAGTAGTGATGAGTAGCCAAGATCTTTAAGGGAAAAGAAGATTCATAACAAAGCAAAACCAAAAAAAGAAAAAAAAAACCCACACAATAAGTTTCTTTCTCTTTAAAGGAAAACTGCCAAGGATGCAGAAGGAAATGAAGATGATCAAAGATGAGGATGTGCATTTCAACTTGGGTGTGAAGAGCACCCCCTCCTTTCCCCACTGTCTGCAACCAGTGGCTTCCCGGGGTAAAACACCCCAAAGACATCCATTCCCAGAAGCTCTTCGGGGGCCTTTTTCCCAGTTTCGGTATGAACCTCCTCCAGGAGACCTAGACGGATTTGCTGGGGTCTTTGAAGGAGGGGGGTCCCGGAAACGGAAGAGCATGCCCACAAAGATGCCGTACAACCACCCGGCGGAAGAGGCCACCCTCGCACTCCACTCGCAGGAGAACAAAAACCATGGCCCTCCGAGCCTCCCTCTGCTCTACCCGCAGCCCCCACGTCCCAAGTATGACTCCCAGATGATTGACCTGTGCAACGTAGGCTTCCAGTTCTACCGCACCCTGGAACACCTGGGGGGCAAATCTGTCAAGCAGGAGCCCATTAAGCCCAGCGCAGTGTGGCCCCAGCCAACGCCCCCTCCCTTCCTGCCTTCGCCCTACCCCTACTACCCCAAAGTCCACCCTGGCCTAATGTTCCCCTTTTTCGTGCCCTCGTCCCCACCCTTCCACTTCAGCCGGCACACCTTCCTGCCCAAGCAGCCCCCGGAACCGGAACCCCTGTTGCCCAGGAAGGTGGAGCCACAGGAGAGCGAGGAGACCAAGCAGAAGGTGGAGAGGGTGGACGTGAACGTCCAGATCGATGACAGCTACTATGTGGACGTGGGTGGGGCGCAGAAGCGCTGGCAGTGCCCGACCTGTGAGAAGTCCTACACCTCCAAGTACAACCTGGTGACCCACATCCTGGGCCACAGCGGGATCAAGCCGCACGCGTGCACCCGCTGCGGGAAGCTCTTCAAGCAGCTCAGCCATCTGCACACCCACATGCTGACCCACCAGGGCACGCGGCCCCACAAATGCCAGGTGTGCCACAAGGCCTTCACCCAGACCAGCCACCTCAAGCGCCACATGATGCAGCACAGCGAGGTGAAGCCGCACAACTGCCGTGTTTGCGGCCGGGGCTTCGCCTACCCCAGCGAGCTCAAGGCCCACGAGGCCAAGCACGCCAGTGGGCGCGAGAACATCTGTGTGGAGTGCGGCCTTGACTTCCCTACGCTGGCCCAGCTGAAGAGACACCTCACCACGCACCGGGGCCCCATCCAGTACAACTGCTCCGAGTGCGACAAGACCTTCCAGTACCCGAGCCAGCTGCAGAACCACATGATGAAGCACAAGGACATCCGGCCCTACATCTGCTCCGAGTGTGGCATGGAGTTCGTGCAGCCCCACCATCTCAAGCAGCACTCGCTCACGCATAAGGTATTGAGGGGCTACCCTCCCAGGGACAGGGTTGCTGGATCTTGAGGGATCACCATAGATGCTGAGGAGCTGTGTAACCCTGGGCAAGAGGCTTGCCTATCCTGAGCCCTGATGCCCTTCCTCACCTTTAAGTAGGAGAGAATGACAAGACCATAGACTATCAATCAAGTCCTTTCCTCGGCTAGCCTTTTAGAGTCTAAGGTGGGCCCAGGAATAAATAAGGCAGATATTTGGAGAGGAGAGTGAGGAAGGATGAAGAAACAGCTGGTTGTCTTGCTGTTGCTTCCTACTTCCCAAGAATCCCTAAATTTTTTTTTCCTGGTAACTTCATCTAGGGCACTAGCACAAGTGTGTCATCAGACCCTGATCAATAGGATATACCAGTGAGAGTCTTCTAGAGAATTCTTGTCTTTTGCTGCTGAAGCAGGGCTACATTTTGATCTGTGTGCTGGATCTCTGCAGGGGCTCTGAGGAGAGCAGGGCTTGGCCTGGTCCTGCAAGGCCTGTGCTTCCTGGGTGTGAGACAGGTAGCTGCGTGGATTGGGTGGCCTGTGGTTTGCATTGTAGGAGGCAGGAGAAAACATCCTTTTCTGTTTGGTTTGTTTTTATCTTCCCTGGACTCAGGTCTTCAAGGAGATATACAGCCCAAGGGTCTATCTTCAGTCTGGGTTGCAACTTAAGCCCTGGAGTCATGCAGACTGAACTAAAACAAGGCCCTAGTGGCATTCCTGAAATCTTAGCCTGGTTGAGCTGACTTGAGTGCTTTGAACTGCTGAGAAGGGAGTTTTGCCCTGCTGACCTCATCCATTACCCTTGACCTCAGTGGTTTTCTTGGCAGGAAAGACTTCTAGCAAGCCAAAGTTTTGTTAAAACATTCTTTAATTCTGAAAGGTCAGTGAAGGACTTTGCCCAGCCAAGATAATGCTTCTGCTCTGCTATAATGGATTTCATTTGTTAGATTAGGACAAAACCTGGGGCATTTTCTGGCTCTGAAGCAGAGATGAAATGTGGGTCTGCCTTGTGGGCTCTGCACAAACAGCTCCTGCCCTACAAAGGGCTCCCATAGATACCATCAGGGGGGAGTTGCCTGCCAAGTGCAGGAACCATCACAAAGGACCTAGACCAAGATTCAACCACAAAGAGGACCATTTGTTTATTTTGGGACTCCTGCACGTATGGAAAAGGCATCAAAGGTACATTTTAGAACATATGGATTCTGTAAGATAGTAGAAAATTAAGTCAAAATGGGAGAAACATCTTGGTGTCTAAAATAAATTGCATTTGAATCAGGAAACAAGCTGCATTTTAATTAAAAATTAAATTTTAATTTATTTTTTGCTTTAATTTTAAGCAAAAAGTGAAAGGTAGTACTGAATACTTTTTCTCTATGGCCAGTGCTTTACTTCTCATTTAATCCTTATTTATTTCCCAACAACTCTGAGAGCTACTCTCAGTTTGCGGATGAAGACACCAAGGCATGGAGAGGCCACTCGGGAATCCCTGACACCAATGTCTGAGTCTTGAACACTTTACTCTCACAACTTCCTCTTTTCCACCCCTTCTTTCCCCTCATCCCTAACCTCCCCCCACCCAGTCCTGTCAGAGAAACAACAGCTTCTTTTGTTGCCCCATAGTTGTGTCCAAGTTCCTTTTCCCTTGCCTTCTGTGGGCCCACATGTGAGTCTTACTTTGGACACTGAATTCTCTAGAAAAAAATTCCAAAACCAGTGAAAAATAATGGCTTCTCCTTGGTCCTAGATCATAGCCACACCCAAAGAAAATCTCTCTCTTTTAATTTTTTTTTTTTTTTTTTTTGGTATGGGGATTGAACCCAGGGGTACTTAATCACTGAGCCACATCCCCAGTCCATGTTTATATTTTTATTTAGAGACAGAGCTCTTGCTGAGCTGCTGAGGGCTACTCTAAATTGCTGAGGCTGGCTTTGAATTCATGACCCTTCTGCCTCAGCCCCCCAAACCATTGGTATTACAGGTGTGCACCACAGTGCCCAGCCCAAAGAAAATCTTTTAAATATTTTATTTATTTATTTTTATTTTTTGATGCTGGGGATTAAACCAGGGCCTTGGGCATGGTAGGCATGCATTGAACACACTGAGCCACTCCCAGCCCAGAGAACATCTGGAAAGAAGAAAGATACTGTAGTAAATTTTGAAAACCATCAAGAAAATATTTCTATTGATTTCATAATTTTAAACTCAACTAATATGCAATGTATTTTCACCTTTTTAGAGGGCATTAAAATTTAATTTTAAAGGAGGACAATCCCTACATCTCTTTATTAGCATAAATCCATATGTATCTGCAATCATTTAGACTAGAAACTGAGCTATAAAGAACCCTAGGATTTTCAAGACCTTTTGGTTCATCTTGAGAAGAGAAGCCTCCACCAGGAAAAGCCATGGGACTTATTTATCTAAAGTTTTGCAGCCAGTAAATGGGTGGGCAGAGATCTGAACCCTACCCTTCAGTACCACGGGCTCACCAAAACCGAGGAGTGGTACTTTCTTACCATGCTCCAAGTTAGATAAGTGAAAATATAGTCAAGAGTCTGAGCTGAGTTTGGAAACTCTTCTTTTTGACCTAAGAAAGGATACTGTACTACAGATTCCAGGAAATATGGATTTATAAGATTTGTTCATTTAGTAGCCTGTTGTCATCCTGTAAGATTTTTCATTTTAGATCCCTGGTCCTCTAAGTATTCCTTTTCAAAAAGTCATTCAGGCCAGGTACAGTGGTGCATGCTGTGGTCCCAGGTACTTAGGAGGTAGAGAATCACTTGAGTCTGAGTTCAAGACCACCCTAGAAAACAAAAGTTCATTCTGGATCAAGACATCTTTGAAGACCTTTGCAGGGAAGCAATAGGTTTAGCCAATGGGCTGCTCGAGGTGTGAGTCCCTGGAAGTGCTCTGGATTGAGGGCATAGATGCTCAAGTATTCAAACGCTGCTCTGCAGATAGCAAGCAAACTGGAAACCTTCTGTCCTGTTTTCTAATTAGAAAGCTGCCAAATTTCTCCAGCAGAAGGAGAGTATCCAGGACCATGTCACACAACTCAGAATGGCCCATGGGAACCAGAGGACCAACAATCAAGTCATAATTGATTGAAGTGAGGCTGAGTTGCTCTCCTGGAATTTTTCTGTCCATTAATGTCAAGAGGACGTTGTTTTTCATATGGCAAATGATACCAGTTTAAAAGATTTTATTTCTTCATTACCAGGAAAGCCAGATTACAGACACATTCCACAGTGCTTTTATCAAAATCCTACTAATGCTTTTGAATTGTTACTATAGTATTAAATACCAGAAGTTACAGGAACAACAAAAGTGATAGTTTTCTTTTCCTCTACCGATCTGGATAGTTTATGGTGTTCAGAAGGAAAAACAAAAACAAAAAACAAAAACACCTAGATTATGTAATCAATGCTTTTTCAATAAATAAATTAACAAGGCTAAAACTATACTATTGGGAACCTCACCAAGCTGTTTGTGGATTTATATAGCAGAGAGAACAAAACCTCACAGAAGCCTGTTACCTGTTAACCAATTATTTGTTGAATCTTGCCTCCTCACAGGGTGTAAAGGAGCACAAATGTGGCATTTGCGGGCGTGAGTTCACCCTGTTGGCCAACATGAAGAGACACGTGCTGATCCACACCAACATCCGTGCCTACCAGTGTCACCTCTGCTACAAGAGCTTCGTGCAGAAACAGACTCTCAAGGCACATATGATTGTCCACTCTGATGTGAAGCCCTTCAAATGCAAGGTGGGCAGAAAAGAAGGGTCAGAGGGTTGGGCAAATACCCAAAGGGAAAGAGAACCTGGGAACAGTCTACTCTGTTTCATCAGTGGGGCTACTCAGAGTAGGTCTATGGCCAACCCCCAGTCCCATCCTCTACTGTCCCTCTTTGCACTACACCTTTGTGCACATAAGCTTTTGGCTGGTCCCTGAGGAGCCTGTCTAGTTTGTCTCACTGTGTCATCAGTGCCCTGGGGGAAGGTCTGAGGGTGGACAGCTTTTCTGGAGAATGGGTTGGTAAGGGATGGAGGTGATGTGGAGAGTTCCTGTTCCAGGGTGGAGAAACAGGTGTGGTCCTCTTTCCCTTATCAGTCAATAAATTGAATATAGAAAGGAGTCAGAGAAGCTTCTAGCATAGCCCTTTCCTTGCCTCTGCCTGCTCCTTTTCTGACATTTAATCTGAACTATATAATTTGAAGGCAGGCTTCCCATAGAGGATGAAAGAGATTCCGCAGGTTGATTTCCTTTACTTTGGAGGTAGACTCAGTGGTGGGATTGTGGGATCTTACGGTAGCTGCAGCACTATTCACAATAGCTAAAGTATGGAATCAACCTAGGTGCCTATCAAAGGATGAATGGATGAAGAAAATGTACTTTATATACACAATGGAATGCTATTCAGCTATAAAAAAATGGAATCCTGGCATTTAGAGAAACATGGATGAGCCTGGAGCACATTATGTCAAGTAAAATAAGTCAGGCACCGAAAGACAAATGCCACATGTCCTCACTCCTGCGTGGAAGCTAAGTTGACCTCATAGAAGTAGAGAGTAGCAGGAGGGTTACCAGGGGCTAAGAAGGGAGGGAGGCAGGATAGAGAGAGGCTGATGAGGGGATCCGAAAATACAGTTAGGAATAAGTTATGGTGTTTCATAACATAGTGAGGTGACTCAAGTTAACAATTTATTGGATATGACAGAAGAAAGAATTTGGAATATTCCCAACATGAAGATGTGAAAAATGTTTAAGGTGGTGGACATGCTAATTACCCTGATTTGATCATCACACATTGTAAATACTAATCCAAATATCACATAATGTTCCATAAAGGTACACAGTTATTATGGGTCAATTAAAATTTTCTAAAAAATAGAATAAAAGAAAGGGATTCTGAAGCTAATCCTTCAAAGGACCTCAGAGATGCTGTGAGCGCAGTCATTAAAGTGTTTTTCATTTATTCCTAAGTGCCACAAAGCACAGGAATGGAGCATCTTTGTTAAAAGCTCTTGTGTCAGATTAACTTGGTTGGATTTTTATTTCATCATATGAGAAAATGCATAGCTGGAGAGTCGTAAGGTCCAAAGTCCTGACCAATGTGGCTCAGAAGTTCCTGGGCTTCCTGAGGCTTCCACACCCCTTAACCCTGTTTCCTTCTCTGCTTCTAAGATGAGGAATCTTGCTCAGATTGGGTAGTTAGCACTGTGTGGGTGAGTGTCATCCCGGTCATGAAGGGAGGGCTGAGCGAGAGAAGAGGGAAATACCAGATGCAGATCATCTGTAGAGCTTCTTTCTGTAACTGCATGTCTGATGGGGTGTGGGTGACATTCTCCATTGATCTATATTTCTGAAGTGGGGTTCCCTGCTTCTAGGGGACATTGCTGCTTTCATCCTCTGCAGCATGGCTCCCACTTAAAGGAACCCCCTGTGAAGTTCACTTCTTTCCTGTGTTGGCAACTCCTAGACGGGGTGAGGGGTCAGGAACCAGAGCTTCCCTAGACCGTGTGGGCATTGTCTGGAGGCGGGAGAGGGAGACTTCTCCCCCCAACCCTTTTCCTGCCACCCACTTCTGTTTCCCCTCCTTTTCTCCAAGTTCCCAGTGGTTTGAAAGTCAATTTATATCCACCTTGAGTCAGCCAAGTTAAGGGGGAGGAAGCAGCATGCAGGATGGACTTCATAAGTTTCAGGGACCAATACAAAATGGAAAGGCAAGGCCTCTTGTTCAAACATTATTCAGAATTTCAAGACAGTGAAAACAGAGCATCAAATCAGACTCAGTACCCTTCTGAGTAGGGAACCCATGCTGAACACCTGTGAAGCCAGCCTTGGCTGCATGAACCAATGGACTCCACAGAGTACCTCTTCTGTCTCTCCTTAGGCACATCTTTGATTTCCTTCCCAATCCATTGAGCCCCTATAGTGCTTCACTTTTATCAACGCTGTTCCCTCCTCTAGAGGTTTACTGTCTCCTAATATGGAGGTGCAAGCAGAGTCTCTTTGCCATTCTTTGTTCCCTTTGTTGATTTATTTTGGGGGCTTAAAGCATGAATTGTATTTTTTTTTCATCTTATCAACCTCTGGTGGAATAAAGTTGTTAAAATGTGAAGGGAGCCATTGCCCAATTTATCCCCTAAATATCCATACCTGTTCAGACCAACCATCTCATTCATTCTGATCCAGCAGTTGTGGCACCACCAGGCAGAGAATGCCCCTCAAATCGGGGATATATCAGTGGCAGAGCCAATATATACTGTGTTGAATTTGTGGGCACAGAGGCAGTTCTGCTTCTCCACTCTCAAATGTCCTTGACCTTGAGGATTTCTAGAGGCTAGAAGTATTGGAAGTTCTAGAAGTTCTCTCAGGTACCAATGCCCAGAACTCTGGACAGAGAAATACAGCCTGAGTGAGCCATCGTATCTGAAAGTTTTAGCCCCTCATGGATAACAGTGTCCTCCTCCACCCCAGTGGTTCAAAAGGTATGTGATGGTCAGCTTCATAGTTCAGAAACTCCAAATCTCTTCCTCCCTGAGGTTGGATTAGGCTCTGGATATCTGGTCCACACTGTCAGATCCCATAAGAGAATGTTTACAGAGTGGAATGCCAGCTTTGAGATAATGCACAGTTTATATTTCACAATAGAAGATGGCCCTGGCATAGGATTTGGGCTGTTCATCTACAAAGATCATTTTTTTCTAATGGGTACATTCTCTCATGTGGCCACATTGTGAGACACTAGATTGCCTAGAAAGCATTATCTATTATTAGACAAAAAGGTATTAAAGGGCATTTTTGCCAAACTTAGGTGGCCCTTCTACTTTCTTAAATATCTTGAAACAATAATGGGTAGCAGTCACCTCTACCCAGGGCTCTCTGTCTCCTGGAAAGTGCTAGAATGTACTTCCAGGTTCTTCCTTTCCCCGTTACCATATCTCTGCAAATTGTCACCCTTCTTGGTATCCTTTTTGTACCACCACTCTTTTTCATTCCAAAAGACTCCCAGAGCATGCCTGAATTTACAAATTATGCAAAAAGGCTCTTAGTGTTTTATAGAAACTGTGTGATAGGCCCTCTTGAGATGTGTCCTGTGGACTTTGCTTTCCATCTATGTTGTGCCAGTTTCTTAGAAATCTGGCCCTGGGTGAACCTTGTCAGGGGTTTGGGAGTTGGGAGTGGTATGGAGGATCATGGCTGTGCAATTCATAATCGTCAGGCCAATGGCTGGCTGGCTCATGGTAATATTGGAGAACAGGCCCAGATAACCAAACAAGATCTTGGAGCAGTGACAGGGAAGAGTTATTCTCTTCCTGTGTTTGACATGTTTGGAAAAGAAAGACAGATCTTGCTGCAGCCATATTCTGATAGTTAGCTATGTCTTCTTTACCCAAAACCTTGCAACGAGGGAGGTTCTCTTGGTAACAGATTCCAATATCTTGCGATTCTCACCATTAAAATTTCCTCCTAACATAAATCCTTCCTCCTGTTGCAACATGAAGTGGTTCTCTATGGCCCTGTGCTCAGTGGAAACAGCTGTTCCCAGCGAGCAAAAACATTTACTAACTGTGGTCTTAGGCATTAACAATAGGATGGAAAATTAGAGGAGAAGAAAGGTTTCCATTCTGTTTCTTTCTTTTTAATTTTTTTTCCTTATATTAAAAAAAAAAAAAATTACTGCCCTTCAGGGCTCTTTTGCTATTGGCTCAACTTCTGGACTCCTTGCTTTTTGAAGCCAGCTGGAGTCTGTCCAGAGGCTTGCGCCTGCAGACTCACTTGAGCCATGTTTCAGAAATATGCTTCCCAGATTCTGCGTAAGCACGCAGGGGTTGATTTGGATACTATCCTTGTAGGGCCGCACTCCATAACAGCAAAGAACCAGCTGCCGTCTTTGGAAAACCTGTCCAGGAAAAGCAGCCATCCAGAATTTCCGGGACAAATTCTCTTTTGAGATGGGTGAAGCCGGGAGCTGCCTAAGTTATGAATCACCAGGTCATCTGCAGCCTTTTCTGCAGCACAGGGCTGAAGGCTGGAGGGCAGAGCCATTAGAAGAGGGGTGAAGTCTCCCTGAAAAGGGTCTCCACCTCCACTGCCAAGCTGCCTCCATTATCCTCTGGAGCTCTTTGATGTTCTAAAAGGAAGAAAGCAGGTGAGGGACTTTGCAGGCCCCATGGTTGGGGTCAGGGTTTTCAGGCTGGCACTGAGGGGGTTAAGGCAGTGACCAGATAGCAGCCTTTTGGCAGCAAAGCCCTCCTCAGCAGAAGGAAGGATATAGCTGTATGAACTGCCTGCTTAACAATGCCTCTCGCGTCCCCAGGGGCCGCCTGCAAATAGATTTCATCTTGCTTTCTCTTGTACTTTTCAAAGCTTCCTGTTTTCTCACGGTCCTTTTGGACAGTTTACAGTCTCTCTCTCCCTCCCTCTCTCTCCCTTTGAGGAAAGGAACACCCTTCTTATTAAAGGAGAGAGAGGGAGAAGAATGTAAGGGAAGGGCAGTTTAGTGAGGCCATTTTTTCTCGGCTGCGGCCTGCAGCTCTTTGACCTTTTCTCTCAGAATAGGAAAACTCGGGCTTCCTGGGGCATCTCAGCTCCAAAGCTCACGTGGGGCTGGAGCAGGGTAGTGTGCTTCTTTTTGGCTTTCTGGGCCTCTGGCCCCAGCCAAGTGGCTGCCACTGCCATCGCCCTGTCTCTCCCCATAGCCGACCTCTCTCTGGCAGCTACCGGCTGTCAGCATGTCGCAGAGGCTCACGGGAGTGAGCCTGTGGTGCCTCTTGGCCGTGGACTGCGTAGGGAAAGGGCACCAGGAGACCAGAGTGAAAAGGCCTGGAGCAAACAGGGCATCTGCTAGTTGCTTCAAAGGCAGACTGATTTCTGAGAAGCCAGAGAGTGGGCTCTCCCAAAGCCTGCAAGCTAGGATTTACACAATGCCCATCCTCAGTGCCCAGCCTGGGCCCACATGCTACTTGCATTCTATCAGGCTCCAAGTAACCTGACAGATATTTACCTAGAGGATTCTTCATTGGATCCTTCCTTTGATATTTCCTTCAGTTAATTTAGCTTAAAAAGACAGAACTCACATCTTGGAAGATCATCCTATTTCTAGAATGTTAAAGAATCTCCTGTGCACTCCATAATGATAGTAATAAGAGCTAATATTTACTGAGCTTTTGCTGTTTGCCAAGCACTTTGCAAGAATTATGTCATTTGATCCTCCCAACATCCTTCATAAGAAACTACCTGTCATCAACATTGTACAGAAGAGAAGACAAAGCAAGTTCTCTGTTCTGGGTTCCCACTATCACCTGTCTACATTGTCATCGAAAAACCTTATGATCCAGGCAACCTATTTTTAAAGTATAGTTAAAAATGCTTTCTTTTTGGAGGGGTGGTTGGTGGCGGGGTACCAGGGATTGAATTCAGGGACACTTGACCAGCTGAGCCACATCCTCAGCCCTATTTTGTACTTTACTTAGAGACAGGGTCTCACTGACTTGCTTCATTCTTCGATTTTTCTGAGGCTGACTTTGAACTTGTGATCCTCCTGCCTCCACCTCCCAAGCTACTGAGATGACAGGCGTGAACCACCAGGCCTGGCTGCTTCTATTTTTTTAATTAGATTTTGAGGTCCACTTCCTTCTTAAAAAGTGGGTAGGTGGAGAATCTGGGATTTAACATCAGAGGCACATTGATGCTGCTCATTAGAGAGGATTCAGGCAAAAGGCACCGTGGTTGAGACGATTCTGAAAAGATGAAAGCTTTGCCCTCACCCCTCCATCAGCTTCCTGCACCTGTATACCTTGTTTTAAGCTCTGCAGACCATGGTAGGAGATGATTCAGCAGGCCCTAACTTGGGTAAGCTCTTAGCTGCACAGCTCATGACTTAAAGGGGACTTAATCTAAGTGGCTGCTTTTATCCAGAGAAGAAACGAGTTTTGTTGTTTCCTCCCAGTCACTCTTCTTCTCCCAGGCCAGCTTCCCTCCTGACTGAAGTGCTTCTGCTTGGATCTGCCATCTCAGACGTCATCCCAGGGTGCGATCCTTAGCTGGCCCCCTCTTCACTAACAGTCTGAAGTCTCTCTCCCTGAATTTCAAAGACATAAAATAACTCTGTTCTCTTGTGTGCTATGTCATATGAGGATAATCTTCTGAGAAAGATGAAGAGGCCTTTGGTTCTGGACAGGGCCCCAAGGGCTTTTGGAAGGGTCAGAGGCTGAGAGGATGAATCTAAGCAACTACTGCTGATATGTGAATGGAGCTCAGGTGCCTTAGGCCTGAGTTAATTGGCTCCATCCTCATGCTAGGGAGGACTGTATTTTCCTAACTAATGTGTCTAGGTTTAGTGGGGAAAGGAAGAGAACTGGTAATGGCTGCTTTTAGAAGTTTGCATGGGGTAATGATATTTTCCTGACTTGGTTATTTATTCTCATGACCAAATATTTAACTCTTCATTGAAGGTATATGTGTATAGTCCTGTGCTTGATAGAGAAATTGGTTACAAAGAAAAGGGAGCTGACCCTTGCATTGGAGATTACCGGGAACTCTGTCTGGGGCCCCAAACACCTTTCAGAGTTGGTGTACTTCCATTAGTCCTGGGAAAGCTCTCCATTGGTGAGTCCAATAGGCTAACATAACCATGCAGGATAAATTTAGAATATCAAAACTAAATCTTACCAATAGTACAAAAATCATTCTCCTTTACCAATCACACATGATATAGCTGACCAGTCATGTCCCACAATGGACTTACCCTGAGGCCACAGGTCTTGATAATATATATAAAAAATGATATTGACAATACATTTTAACATCCTAATGTCCCTATGTGCCGCTAAAATGTTCCAAGAAGTTCAGTACTGAATGAATTGAGCTAGAAATACATTATAGGGAAAAAAATACACTAGTAAAGGAGCATAAAAGGAAGTTTATCTGAGGCTGATGCAGAATGTGGAGGATGCCTAGAGGCAGCCACTCTGATGAGCACACCTCCGAATTTGGAGTGGGGGAGGGGAGATGATAGGTGCAATCTTAAGGCAGGTGAATTGCAGGGTCGGCCCTGACTCCCATGTCCCAGCAGGTCTGACAGCAACACGCAGTTCATCATTATCACAAAAGTGATAGTTCCTTTTCCTGGTGGTGTAAGTTTGACTGGAGTGTCTAAAAGTAATCTAATGGAGACAATTTATTTATGGGTCAAATAAAAACAAAAGACAACTGCACATTCTTCAAGGTAAAGGCTAAAATTCCATCGCCTTTACAAAACCCCATCAGGTCAGTCCAGCCTCTACTACCTCTGCCAACACAGAGGAATTTCTCCCATCATGGGAGTCAAGTGCAAGAAGGCACCCATCCTTTCCAAGGATGTCTGTCTAGCCTAGAGACTCCACCCATGCTAGACTTGTGCGGTAGCCTAATTGCCCTTCTAGCCTTCAGCTCCTCTTCTCCACTTGCCTGTGCTTCACCACATCAGGCTGTTTCTTCTGTAATTTTCTGCTGCCAGGTGCCCACTCCTTCCCTCAATACATTCTCTCTGAGAACCTAGCATGCATCAAGCTTATCCTAGACAGGAATACAATAAAACGCAGGCAGAGCCTTCATGGATATTGCAGTCCACTAGGTGAGAACAGCTGAAATAAATATCGAGCCAAGTACTGGTCACACTTAGCAATTGCAAACAACAATATCACTCCAAATAATCAGGAACCATTCCACAAACCAAAGGAGGTATGCCTTTTCTAAAAATGATCACAACTGGAAATACTTCATGTAGAATCTTGAAACTTTATTTCTTTAGCCATAATAGAGAAGTAGGTAACCTAAGCTGATAACTTTACCAAAACTTTTATACAGGTGTAAAATTGAGCCATAGAATGAAATATCTTAATTAATTATCTCTATAGAGAATAAAAGAAAAGATGTGTCCATACGTATATTACTTCTCTTGAGGATGTTGGAATTAGGCCAATCCTCTCATCCTTTTCTCCAGGGGGATCATTATTTTCAAATGAAGGTGGTACACAGCTTGGAAACCCATACAGGTTGCCAAATTCAGTCTTGCTAGTGTGGAAGCAAAGGGAAAAGTATTTAAAATCCCCAAGTACTAATTATCCAAAAATACAAAATCAGCCATTCATAATCCATATGTGGATTCTGTGACAAATGCATAATCCTAGACTGGCTGACTCTTACCACCCAGTGTTCTTTTAGGCCAACCTTCTGAAGTCATCATTTGTTAGGTCTGAACATTCCTCCAGAGTCAACTCAACTCTCACTTCCCTGAAAAAAATGTTGCCTACATTAATAAAAATTCAATCTGAATCTCCAACAGTGTCCATAAAAGGGTCTCAGTGAAAAAGGACACTGCTGTCTCAGCCCCAGAGGGTGCCATACCTCTAGTCCTGTCTGTGACTATGTGGGGAGGTGGGAGGAGATTGCTCCTTCATTAACACTCTAGTCCAAGTGCAAACAGAGAAATGTTCCCTTGCATCCCTAACATGACAGCCAAGGAAGGGCTGGAGTTTCTAAAACCCTGCTCTCCTAAGGCATGGGGACAGGCAAATAACCCCAGGGCTGTTCTATACTTTCTGCTTGCCCATACATTGCGTTTGGAAGGAAGGTTCTACTCTTCCAGAGGAAGTGTGAGAACCACTGTTGTGTCTCCACGTACTGGCACTTGGATGGAAATAGAGAGAAATGTTGAAAAAGAAATGAATAACCCATGTTTTTGTAGACCTGAGATAATATTCTCACATCTTCATATGCCTACCCCAAGAACAGACACATCTTTTTCTTAAATATCTCGTTTCTTTGAACTTTGAAATGCATTCTAATAATTAGTAAATTAAAAATGCATTGTCTGGTACAGTCTTATAAAAGAGCTATGTTGTGGAGGATGTAGTATGAACCCTGCTGGCCCTGGGGTCTGATGGCCTGAGTTCCTTAGCTCAGTTCCAGCACCCACTAGCTGTGAGCCTTAGGCAAATGACCTAAGCCCTTAGTTTTCCCACCTGTTAAATAGGGGTGATGATAGCATCCATCTCATAAGATTGATGTGGGAATTAAGTAAGATATTCCTTGACAGACTTAGAGCAATGCCTTCATGTTGTGAACACCCCCTAAATATCAAACACATCACTGCATTCTTATAATTAAACAAGCTTCCAGCAACTGCTTTTTCAGTTTAGCTCTTCACCTTTTCTAAAGGTTGCATCCAAAACAGCTTTACAGGCTTTGCAATTTTCCACCTTGAATTCAGAGATCCCTGGACACCAGCAACAGATGTCTCATGAATCCATTCCTCCGTGCTCCACCTCCGAGGCTGGGCAGAAAATGGTCCAGGGGGCCATTTTCCTTGTAATCACAGATCTTTGAAATGCCAAGATCCAAGCAGAGTAAAGTGGTTGTGGGCCGCCACATGTCCATCTCCAAGGGCCTGATGTGGGTTCTCTCTGGCAGGATAACTGTGTTCTCCTCATCTCTGTCTCCAACAGCTGTGTGGGAAGGAATTCAACCGGATGCACAACCTAATGGGCCACATGCACCTGCACTCAGACAGCAAGCCCTTCAAGTGCCTCTACTGCCCCAGCAAATTCACCCTGAAGGGGAACCTGACACGTCACATGAAAGTCAAGCATGGAGTGATGGAGCGGGGACTTCACTCTCAAGGTATCACTGCAGGAAGCCCCACGCTGCCAGGTCCAGTGGGCAGCAGATGGGTGTGGAATTTGTTTTTAACTTTGGGGTATTACTTTGGGGGTGGTTATTCTTGTAAAAAAAAAAAAAGGACTGTGACTTTTCAAGACTTAGAATGCTACTAGAAGAAATGTAATAACTAATACGGGAAGGACATAAATAACAGAGAATCACAGAGTAAATTTAGAGCAAAACAATATGCCAGTTGGCTCAGGTCTTGGTTCCTTTGTTCCAGACATTCCCTCAGGTGCCTTATCTCCTTAAATCTTCATGGCTCTTCCAGGCTGGAAGAACTTCTATATCTTTTTGCAGATGGGGAAAATGAGGCTTCCCAAGTTGCCTATCTGAAAAGTTGCCAAGTTAGGATTTGAACGCAGACCCTTCTGACTTGAGGGTCTTTATTGTGTCCACTTCTGTTAAAGAGCATGTGATTTTCCTTTTCTTTTGAAAAAAAAACAAACAGGTTTGAATGTTCTGCTGTGAGCAGAATTGTAGCAGCCCCCTCCTCCCTGTTCACCCAAGGACTGGTTTCCTGCTGATTGCCCCGGAGGCAGGGCAGGAGTATCTGTCCCCCACCTGGAATTGAGTCGTAACTGAGCTAATGAAGTTCTCGCCTCCTTTCCCTTGGCATCCCCAGGGCCCTTAGCAGTCAAGTTTGTGTTCTGGATCTACTGCCTTCATCAGACTTGCTTCTTAGTCACCTAATCAACCAGTCCTTCATAAACGGCAATAAACGCACCTCTGTCCAACACAGTGAGCTGCATGCCGTGGCAGATCCTTAGGAACAAGGCCACCTCCGCCCTTTAGGAGGTCTGTGTTGGGGGAGAGATGACAGTGATATATATATAATTTACAAAATCATATTAGCTGATTTTTGACCACTAATGTGATCAAAGCACAGGGCAAGACTCTTCAGGGCGTTCTTGCTCACCCCTACCAATTCATGAAAGAGATTGGGTTATTCTCATTTTAGGTAAGAGGAGATCAAGCCTAGAGGTGTGCTGAGGTCAGACAGCAGGTCTGAAGGTGGAAGTGGACTTCTAACTAAAGAATTTCTGAATTAAGCCCAGGCTCACTACCTTAGGCAAGAACCTAGGGCGATCTGTTTGTGTTTGCTGCTTACAATGACAGTGATATCAGCACAGATTCATAATTAAGACACACTCCTGTATACACAGCATGTTCAAAATGATTGTCACTTTTAGGCATTTCACTGCAACCCCTTACTCTATGGGGACTCCTGGGTGACAGGGAACATGGTCATCACAAAAAAGGGCTGGAGTTTAAGCTTTTAAAGGCCTTGAAAATATTCTTTTTTTTTTTAAAAAAAAAAAAAAAAAGCAATTACTCTCCTGAATGATTCATTGACTCTCTAGTTGCCTGAGCCACTTCCCAAGGTAGGCCTGGATTTTTCCAGAAGAGGCAAAGTGTGTCCCCTTGCTTGAGGGGGGAGACAGCCAAGGTAATGAGGAGGTGGTCCTCTGGCTGACAGCCTGATCTGGGCCCCACTGCCTGCCATGTACCCATGTTCATATCCTGGCATGCTCAAACCAGCTCTGTCACTCTGGGGGAAGTAAGAGGAGCATCACTATGAATTACAGGGTTGCTTTGAAAAATTTTACAGACTTTCAACGATTCTAGTGTTTTCATCTACAAAGAATGTTAGCATTTTTTTTTCTATTCTGGTTTTTAAATGACTCAAAAGTCATTAGAAGATCCTCCCTGTCCCCTGGCAAGATTAAAGATACAGACAACAGCAGTGCCTGGTACCATAAAGTACTCAACATTGGACCTCAGGGCCTTACCCATCTGTTTTATGTTCCCACCCTGAAGCCTGCCTAGCTGCATCCCAGACCCCTCCCTTCCTGTTTCTCCTCTTTACAGTCCTGGTTGACTGTGGAGTCACCACAGACCTATAAAGAAGGGATGAATGAACCACTATCCATCCCATGTCTGTTGGGCACAGCCAAGCCCATTCCTACAGGGTCTCAAACTGAAACTGGAACTCTGATTACATGCCCAGCATGGGGACACTGATGGTCATACACAAGGGCTTAGTGTCCTCCTCAGATATCCTCACTACTGGGCACAGGTGCCATGGTCTTCTAGTGGATGTCCTAGCCTCAAGTGATTTCTCTTTGTCTTTTTTCAAGATGAGAATATCTTTATTGTTGCTTATGTTTTTCCTTACAGTAGAGTGTGTATGTGTGTGTGTGGGGGGGTGTAAAATAAAATAATACATACTTTGGAAATGGAAAGAAAAATGTAATTATCATCTCAGAGTTCATCAAGTTTGAGATTTGGGCATACATTCTTCTAGAAATTTTTTTTTACAGAAAGAAAATGAATCATGTCTACACTATAAATATATGTGCATATTTTTCAACTTTAAGTATAGAATACATTTTATGGTGGTTAATGGGTCTTTATAACACATAACACCTACACATAGTTCATTGTGTGGATGTACTGTTATGTGTTGAACCAAAACTTGAATACCAAAATTGTCCTCACAGTTTCACTATAATAAAAAGCGTGGTGATGAGCATACTTATACATACATTCTGTGCTCCTGCCTGCCTATTTTTTAATCATTTAAATTCTCAGTAGTGTCCTGCTAAGTCAAGGCTTATTTTTACAGCTTTTGGTGCCTGTTGTCAAGTTCACCTTAACAGGGTTACGCTGATTTAGATACTGTCTGACAAGCCTCCCATGTCCACCTTCTTACTGGGAAGTGTCTATATTTACAATCAGAACAGGTTAAATGGCCCTGGGTTACTCTTCTGCATACACCCAAGGCTCCATTTCCACTGTTCCTCATGTGTGCATGAATTCTCACTCTGCTCTCACAGGTTTGGGAAGAGGAAGAATCACCTTGGCACAGTCAGCTGGTGTCCTGAGGAGTTTGGAGCAAGAGGAGCCTTTTGACCTCTCCCAGAAGCGTGGGGTAAAGGGGCCCATGTTCCAGTTGGATGGGGAAAGTGCCCGGGGCAGCCCCTGCCATGAGGAGGAGGACGATGACAATTGCTATGAGGTGGAACCCTACAGCCCTGGCCTGGCCCCCCAAAGCCAGCAGCTTGGTGCACCCCAGGATCTGTCCACCAAGCCCGAGCAGGCCCCTGAGAGGCCAGAGGACAATTGCAAGGAGGAGAAGGAGGATGTGCCCAAAGAAGAAGAGGAGGAGAGGAGCAAGGACCACCATGAGGCAGAAGGTGTTCAGGAGCGAGATTGTGCCTGCAAAGACGAGCGTCTCAGCCTCAGAGTTTTCCAGAGCTCCCGGCGGGGCCCCTCTTTTTCTGATTACTTGTACTTCAAGCACAGAGATGAGAGTTTAAAAGAATTACTGGAGAGGAAAATGGAAAAACAAGCAGTGCTTTTGGGTATCTAAGTGGACAGCTTTAAAATTACATTTGGAAAATGAGAAGTAGGCAGTTCAAATATAGCTTTCTGCATGAACTGTCATTTGCTGGGGACTGACTGGCAATGCCAGTCCTTACAAATGGCTCAGACTAAATGAGCCAGCCTAGGTAGTGTAAATGCTTCCCAGGTCATTTCTTGGGTCCTTCATAATTTTAGCATGCATGCAGGGTGTTCAGTGTTATTTTATGCATCACCCCTGTAATGAACTATGCATATTCTTTTAGATTTCTAATTGTAAGCTGAACCTGAGGTGCTTTCAGAAATTCTGTTTTTCTTTTACTAATATGCAATACATGGTAAATTTCCTTCTAGTTGCAAAACTATGGTGCTTGATGAGTTACCTTATTAATAACTATCTAGTCGAGTTCATGAAAGTGATAATATTTTTCCAGAAATATATAGCTGTATATATAAAAATAGTCTTTGTTAAATAATCAGAAATACCAGAAATAACACAGAAGGGTGAGCTTTTGAAAAGGATATTCTCAAGTAGTTGCTATAGATAAAAGATGAAACTTCAGAAAAAGATGAGTAGTTTTGATGAAGGGAAAATCAGCCATGCTTCTGGATTCCTTCTGGATCTTTTGTCCTGCTTTGGCTCATCAGATGGGGCATTTGAAACGTATTTGCAGATGACTAGACAATGCTCAGGGGGTCCCGTTTCCTCAGACTAACCTCTGGTGTCCAAAGCACAGCTCCCTTCTGGAGACCATTGCTCTGTGGCCCCATGCCCCATAAAAAAGCTGTAGAGAGACTTGTTGGCAGTGAGCAATGGACCTCTCCCCAGTGCTGGAGGTAGGGAGTGGGTGGGGAATTCTCCCTGAAACAAGTCCTGACTTATTCAGGGTATTAGAACAATCATCAGCTAATCACTATAAGGAAGACCTGGGCTATGTTCTCAATGCACATCTGGAGGAGCATGTTAAAAAATACTAATGCCAGGGTCTCAATGCCCCATCCCAGGATTCTGATTTAATTGGTTCGGAATGGAGCCTTTGCTCTGGTCATTTCCAGATTACCCTGAGTGGGGTATGCACAGCCAGGATTGAGAAGGATTCACTGGGCTTTGATAACCCTCATCCATTTCTGTGTCTACCAGGACTCCCTCCCAGGGACTCCACAAATATTTCTGTCCCTGGCTTCAGACTCATTGAGGTGGAGGTCAGGATACCTGTAATCATGATGCTGACTCAGGTTTTTGTACCTGTTCTGGAAGATCCTCACAAGGAGACACACATACTCTATACGGATACACGCTTTTTGTACTAGGAGATGCCTGTGTTGTTCATGGTCACTTTTTATGTTGACAGTGACTCATTGCTCTTGTTAGGTGCTGGCACCACAACTCCCGCCAGCACGGAGGACCTAGATGGCAGGTTGGGCCTGGCCCATGGGCTTTAGTTAAGCACTGGCACTGAGTAGAGCAATACTGATGGGGCTGTGTATGTTCAACTCTGACCCTGGTAGGTACTGTCTGTGTTCGTGTGCACATGAACACTGCCTCCGGGTTGGGAGTTTCAGTTTTTATTTGTAGAGCTAGGTACTGCTGGTTACTGCTTCCTCTCCTCCCAAACTCCCCAGTACATTTCTTTTGAAGAGCTAGTTCATCTCCAGGGGCTGGAGGCTGGCTTTTTCTATGGGCGATTGTTCTTCCCTGTTAGCCTCATCTAGTCCCCACCATTGACCTGTGGGATCCCTGATCCATTTCTACTGTCACCTTCCTAAATTTCCTTCCTTTAGCATCACCACCGCTGGGAAGTGCTAAAGTTTGGGTTTCTTACTGCCACCCATGTTCCATGGAACCCACCAAGAGGATGGTAGAGAGCATACTGTGGGTTTCTACATCCACCAGCACAACTCTGGGCCAAAAATTATTCCAAGTCCTCAGAGGGACCAGTTCTCTTTCATTCCCTAGGAATGCAGTTCATGGGTGCCTTTGATGAAATTGTCCAGGGAGCGGGCAGAGTGGTCTGTGACACCCCCAGCCCTTAAGGTCCTGTTACATGTGTATTCACTCAGCAACCTTGTATTAAAGACCTACTATGTGCAGTGCCTGACCACACGTGCTGCAGACTTCCAGTTGCTTCCGGTATGCCCAGCTGGAAAAGCAGCCAGGAAAATCTAGAGGAGCACACGCTAGTCCTTTCCAACCAAAACAAATCCTGTGGGAATGCTTGAGGAACCCGTTAATGTTGAGTTGGAGAGAGTATGGTCTAGAAGAGTGGTCTTCAAGTTGTTTTGAGAAGTCAAAGGTCTCTCTCAGGCCTCTGTAGAGCCACTAGGGGAGAAGCTCTTAGTCCCCATACCTGCTTCACTCAAAGTGGCTCAAATTTTGTCTGTTTTGAATGTTAATATTCTAAGAAAAGTTTCATTTGGCAGGAGAAAAAAGGTCTCAGGAAGGTAAGAAAAATTTATGATGGGGTGTGTTCCAAGGCCTGTTTTTAGTTTTTGACCCTGGATACGAGAGACTTAATGAAGCCGATGAGTACTACAGCACTGGCCCTCTGAGAGCCAAGGCTGAAATCTTGGTTGTAACCAACATCCTGGTTTTTCCTGGGATGATTCTGGTTTATATCTCCTGTCCCGGGGTAATTATTAACAGTGTCCCTTAATCCTCAAAAGTATCCCAGCTTACATGATACCTTACATGAGCACCTGGTGAATGAACACAGAGCTAAAGAAAGGGTTGGCCAGCCTTGCCTGATGAGCTGACTAGCCAGAATGCAGGTCTGAAGGAAGGCCCACTAGGGCCATCCCCAGAGAATGAAGGAATGATGTCATCCAAGGTTACCACCATCCCAAGGCCATGACCTTCATCACATTGTGAAACTCTAAAAATGGGACATGACCAAATGCTTTCCAGGCTTTTGACCACTGTCACTTTGAACCAACCAATGACCCAGCCAGGTGGCAGGTCTTCGTTCATCCTCTGTATTCAAGTCTGTGACTGCCCCTCTTGTTGCTTTGTAGTCCCTCTTTTTATTTTCTCTTTCTAAAAATTTGATTCCACATTGGCCATGAGACTAAAGCTGACCTTTCATAAATCCACAAAAAGTAACTAGTTTATTTTGTATATGAGTAGTTGCATGAGAAAACCCAACATGCATACTGTATTTATTAAGCCCTGAAGGCTTTTAATAAAATATTAACATTGTGTTTTGAATTATGATCTTTGTCTGCTTTGCTGGAACAAAATGTAACAGAGCTAACATTTAAAATCCTTTGCATATTTGGACAACATCACACCAAATGTTGATTTTGTACAGAATTCAGGCTTGCTGTTTAAAAACTAAAACTCCAAGTGTTGAGCAGCCCAAGTTTGTGAATATTGCTTTCTGCTTCAGTGAAAAGGCAGTTTACCTAGAAATAGCATGTAACCTATATTTTGTTAATTTAAGCAAATAAAGACATGTTGAAAAAACTGAGTCAATTATTTGTATATATGTGAAATTCTGCAAGGAAGCTGCCATTGTAAACATCTCACTCCAGCATCTCACTTTGCCAGAGTTAGCTCCTCGGTCATTAGCTTCTCAACCCAGGGAGAGAAGGGTCTTGAAATCTCCCTCTCTCAGGGCTGCAGAAAGGATTAATGCACCTTAGCCCCTCTTCAGTTAGATGACCACTTCCCATCCTTTTCCTCGTACCCATTCAGAAAGATTTACTCTGGAGGGCTGCCACAGGCAAGTGGAGACAGGATTACCTCATTCTGCCTCAGGTTCTTTATAAAATGAAGTTCAACCAAGAATCGGTAGACTCCAGTGAGCACAGCACTGATTCTGGACCCAGCCTGCCTGGGTTCCAAGTCTTACTATCCCTCTTCCAATATCTGGGATCTGAGACCAGTTCACAAACCTCTCTGTGTCTCAGTTTCCTTGTCTGTAGAATGGCACTGGGAAGTGGACCCTCCTCATAGGATTGTTCTGGCTCATAGTTCATTCTACAGAATCAGGCACCATGACTACCAACAACATAACCAAAAACCCGCATGCTCAGTTCTCCCTTCTCGAAAGAAAAGTCACAAAGCTATGTTAGCATGGGAGATTGTCCATTTCTGAGGACGTTTCTTTAAAACAACAGTAAAACTTCAACACATACTGAACACAGGTAATTAAATGCCAAGCACTGTGCCAGGTGATTCACAGGCTCAATTTCATTTAAGCCTCGCAACCCCACAAGGCAGACATTATCCCTATTTTGCAAATGAGGGAATGGAAGTTCAGAAAATAACTAGCCCCAAATTACTTAGTAAATGAACATCTACCTTGCCTCCAAGCACTCCGCCTGATGCAGGATCAGTGTTCTGGAAGCAGCTGCTGAGATAAATTTGGGTACAAGATATTTATTAAAGATTAACACTGGCAAAAAAGAAAGGAAATGGAGCCAAGAGAGGAAAAAACTGTGGTGAAGCTCTGACTGAGCCTCAGCCACTGGGATGCAGCTCTGGAGCTAAGACTTCCCATCAGGGTTGTGCCAGGCATGGCAGAAAGTTTCAGGCCTTTACACCCCTGCCCTGCTCAGTCACCAGAGGTGGGCTGCCCAGGTCAGAGTATGCCCTCCACAGCTGGGGTCCACCCCCTATTACTGGCAGCTGGGGACTGGTGACTGATTGCACTCCCCTTGCCGGTGCAAAGCCTTCCTTGGAGAGAGACCAGGTGGCTCTTCTCTGCGTCTCCCACAGATACAGTGGTTCCACCCCTGGCAATCTCTAGCCCATTTCTTCACCTAGATTCACAGAGCCTCTCCAGTAGGGTTCTGGTGGGCCTCTCTCCCTGATGGAAGAAGAGGGTTAGGACAAACTTCATCCCCCACAGCTGCAATGAGTCTAGGGATCCAAATGGACCTCTTCTTTATAGATCATCCAGTCTCAGGCATTCTGTTATAGTAACAGAAAACAGACAAGGATACCCAGTCTAGATTCCCTTCAGCATGAGATACCACCACTGCCAGTCTCAATGGCTTAGATTTCTACCTTACCCCCCAAGAGCCCTATGAACTAAATGCTTTGTGTTCTTCCAAAATTCATGTTGAAACTATGACTCCCCAATGTGATAGTATTTGAAAGTGGGATTTGGGGATGTGATGAGATTTAGATAAAGTTATGAGAGTGGGGGCCTCTTACTGGGATTAGTGACCTTATAAAAAGAGAAGATAAAAACCTGTGTCTCTCCACCATGGGACAATGTAGATATCTGGAAGCCAGGAAATAAGCCCTAATCAGACACTAAATCTGACTGCACCTTGATCTGGTACTTCCCAGCCTCCAGAACTGTCAGAAACAAATGGATGCTGTTTAAGCTACCAGGCCTGTGATATTTTGTTATAGCAGCTTAAACTGATTAAGGCACATACCTTTTGCAGAATAGGATTACTGCACTTGTTCATTTCTAATCATAAGTCAAGTAAAAATTAAAAAAAAAAATCCAGTGGTCACCCAGTTTCCAAATCATTCTTCCCTGACATTGTGTAAGAACAGTCCTAACTTCTACCTGGTGATCAGGTCAATTACCCCTGCCAAGATAGCTACTCCTCTCCTTGTCTGCTGGCCTCTGGAGACATGGAACAAAATTGGCTAGGTGACAGCCCTAGTTTTTATCAATGATACTTTTGTTATGTCCTCAGATGAAAGTGTAATCTCTTTGAGGTTGAAAACTTCTAACCCGGCATAGCCCAGAGTTAAAGGGATAAGAAATACAAATTCCCAGTGTGTCATCAGGAGTGATAGTGTGGGGGACATTCCTGTTTCCACTGTTGGACTCAGGACCCATGCAGGCTTCCTATTGAGGATTTGGGACCATAGAAATTTTTGATTCAATATATACTG